TCCATGCGCTGGAAAGCCTTCTGCACCTCCACATCCCACCGACTGCGCGCAACAATAACCCACTCAAACACTCCAACCAAATACAAAGCAATACACTGCCCAACCCACAGACCCTTAAGTCCCCAGCCATGAAACGCAAGCCAGATACCCAACGGCAATGCACCGCAGTAATAACTCACCAAATTAACCAGAGCACCCACATGCTGCCGTCCCATTCCTCTCAGACTCCCCCCACAACTCCCATTAAGCCCATCGGCAATCTGGAAAAGCGCCACATACGGCATGACTTCAGCCGTAAGACGCACAACATCCGAATCATCATTGAAGATCTTGGCAAAGTGATCCCGCGTCCCGATAAGAACAGCCAGCACAACGCCACCACAAACCATACTCAGCACGGCAGAGGTATGCGCCGCGCGCGCCGCACCGGTATCATCTCGTTTTCCTAGTAGATTACCGACGCGGCCGGATGTCGCGACCCCAATTCCGAAAGGGATTGTATTGAGAACTTGATCGGCTGTCATAATGACACTCTGAGCAGCGAGCGAGACAGTACCCAGGTGCCCAGCTGCTAAAGCGACGATCTCAAATGCCCACCATTCTGTTCCAACGTGCACAATGCCTAGAAGAGCGAGTCGTGCAAAGGTGCGAAGGTTTTGGAATGCCTCGCGCGACCATCCGCCCCAACACTCTGCGCCGTTGATGAAGCGTGCGTAGAGAACTAGCAATGCAAATGAGAGCCAGTAGCAGATTCCCGTTGCGAGAGGTGCGCCTAAGAGGCCGATCTTGAATGTGTAGCAGAATAGGTAGTTGAGACCGGCGTTTAATGGTGAGGTAATTAGCAGCACGTATGTTCCAGCTCGCATGATTCCTATATGATGGTCATGTTAGTATTCATACCCGGATCAATCTCGTGCAAACATACCTTGAGCTTGCAGATACTTCTTCATAACCTCGAAATAAATATATCCCAAACCCCCAGGAATCAAACAAGTCAAGAACCTCGCGCTGTCGTGTGAGAGTTGAGGACTCTGTCCAAGGAACAAAAAGACAGGCTCTGAACAAGCCCACAAGATAGCGACGGGTATATAAAAAAGACCCAGGACCAAGAAGCCTCGCTGAAGTAGAATTCCCAAGTCATGTTTGTTGGAGCTTCCCGTGAACGAGGAGGAGGCGAGTGTGTCCATAGCCGTGGTACCTCCTAAAGCAATCATCCATCCCGTAACCATGGCGAACATCTGCGAGAATGCACTCGCGGCGAGGTTCTCCGGTGATGAGCGACCGATGATCAACACCGATATTGTTTGAAGGCTGTTTTGCAGAGTGTAGGCTAAGATTACGGGAGTTGAGTCTTTCAGCAAGAGCCAGAACTCGGCGAGGATGAGGGCTCGCGAGAATGGACTTTCATCTTCGGAGTCGTTCAATGGTGGTCCATCGTCGATGGGCTTGGCGAGGAGGGAAGTATACTCGGTTGGTTGGTGACTTGAGCCTCCATTGCTGGAGGGGTTGGGCATGATGGAATTGGCGATATGTGCTTCGTAGTAAATTTGGCTCCGGCTTCAATATGTGATGGTTTTTAGGAAGTGGGGCACAGTACGGTGTGAGTTCTTCCACTTGTTAAGCAAGGGAGTTGGAAGAAGCGAAAATACTTCCTGTTAGCAAACTGCTTTTGATTCGGAAAGTGTGAATTTATTTCAAGATGATGCTACGGCCAGCGTGGAGTTTGTATATGCACGAATATCTGGTACCAATCAGTAATACGAAAATTCGCTACATGCGTATTCAACAATGGATACATAATACATAGCCAGTATGATTGAGATAATCAAAGCAATAATTGCCATGAAATGTGTATTTTTCTGTTGGTCGAGTATCTCAAGTTCAAGTCCGATACCGGACGGTTCGACGCGGTAGGGTATTCGGTATACAACAAGCGAACATGTTAGAGCTAACACTTCTGTGGCTTCAAGATTGGAGTATGAAATTGAATCGATCAATCTAGTCTTGATCTCTAACATGGGGAAGTACTGATGTTCTCTAATTGTTGCCTCGAAGTGGAAGTTGACTAGAGCGCCTTATCTTTCGCCTCTTATCATCGTCTCTGGCCAGTTTGATTGGTGCATGCAGACGACGTCCTCAGCACTCCTGTCACTTTGATAGTGGCGGGCTCTTTGCAGCAATGATAATCCTGATAGTTATGAAATAACCATTCTAATGGTTTGTGTACACAAAAGGGAACAAGAAGAGAATCACTGTGATTTGACTGTAACTTGACTGTTTAGTTGTATACCTCATGAATGAGATGATATGACTTCCCCTAAGGACGACTTTTATAATCAAAACAATGGTTATAATAGTATGCAGTGCCATAGCTTTCATACTCCGAGGCTCGTTTGATGTAATAGGCTGAAACGTGCTTCGTGGAATTATAGAAACCCTAATGCGGTGCTTATCAGCTAGGCCCTTTCATCAGGAGATTCCGAGATTCTACCCCGGGCCCCCCGGCAGCACGACCAATAGACAGCCAAAGCTTGGTTCAGCACATGGCAACAGATAATCGACAGATCTAGTATATATGTCTTATATATATCATCTCCCAGATCAAGGCGGGCTCTAATATCATAGTCATCTGCCGGCCTATATACTCTTGGATACGTATTCAAACGCAAGAGTCTACAAGATGGCATCTTGCCCAACAGAAATCGATGGCAAACGCAAGTTCGGAGAAAAAGACAACAAAAACGACGACGTCGACCCAGCCAATACTCCCATGGAGGGCACCCAAGTCCTTCACAATGCAGCCGTCGACAAAAACGGAATCAGACTTCACCCCCAGCCAACATCAGACCCCCTAGATCCATTAAATTGGTCAAGCCTTCAGAAAAATGGCATACTATCTATCGTTATGTTCAAGTATGTACCAAATCAGCTCCGAGGAATGCTCGACACTTGCCAGCAACAATCTACACGTCTTGCTGACATCTCACTAACCCCTGCTAGATATTTCCTATTCACATACCTCACAACCACCACAGTTCCCTCATTTCCAGAGATTCAAGATCAATACTCGATCAACTATTCGCAAGTCAACTGGACAGTCGCCGTGCCAGCATTAGGATTATCCGTCGGACCACTCATATGGTCATCCCTTGGTGAGATCTTTGGCCGAAGGGCGGTGTTCTTAGTTGGAACAACCATATCGCTGGCCTCGACCATTGGTGCTGCTGGAGCTGATTCCTATTCGGGGTATATGGTTGCTCGCTTCTTCCAAGGATTTGGAGTGAGCCCAGCATCTACAGTCGGAATGGCAGTCGGTATGTCTCAATCAATCATCCAGACAAGATTTGTATCTGACATCTAGTTTGACAGTGACCGATCTGTTCTTTGATTATGAGCGTGGTCAGAAGCTTGGCTTGTGGGTTCTAGCAATTGATGCTGGTCTGCTTCTAGGTCCTACCTGTAAGTTGTCCGGACATGTCAAAACTCCAATGTGTCATATGCTGAGATTTATTACCAGTTGGCGGCTTTTTGGATCTCGTCAGTGCCCCATGGATAAACTGGTTCAACGCAATCCTCTTTGCGACATTACTACTTCTCGAACTCTTCTTCATGCCCGAGACCCTCTACCCCCGCAACAAGATGCTTCAGCAAATGCCCCGTCTTGACGGCAACGAAGCTCTCCCGAGTGATGTTGAAAAGCAAATAGCAGGAGACGACACGGCGACATCTATGTCTCCGGAGACCCTACCCTCCGAGCTACGCCGGACAAAGAACCTCCCTTTCATCAATTGGCGTCCTATTCCCGGCATGCGCCATCCCAAGCCGTGGGACTCCATCACTCGGTTTGTGTTGACGTTCCAATTATCCGCAGTGGTTATCGCAGTTGTCGGATTCAGCTTCGTCTGGTACTGGTGGGTTTTATCTGTTATCACGATGGTACCGGCGGCATATCCGAACTACACACCTCTGATCCAGGGACTGCTGTTCCTTGGGCTGTTCCTTGGGACTGTCCTCTCGGAGATTGGGTGCTCTGGACGATTAAGTGACTTTATTGTCGAGAAGCTGGCGAAGAGGAATGGCAATATCCGCGTTCCGGAGATGCGGTTGTGGCTGGCGTACCCGGCTATATTGATCACCACTGGTATGTTTGACTTTCCAGACTATATGTTGAACCCGACTGACAATAGTGATTATCATAGTTGGGTTGGTTGTTTGGGGAATCAGTATCGACAAAAACTACCACTGGATGGTAGGCCAGGTGGCATTCTTCCTATGTGAGTTCTATCTTCCGGTATATATAACATATCATTCGACGCAGTGCTGACAATCAATCCTCTAGTTGCCGCTGGTATCCAGATCGGAAATACTGTAACCAGTAGCTACATTGTGGACTGCTACCCACTACAAACAACGAGCGTGATCACATTCTACGCCGTATTTCTGAACTTGAGTGCTTTTATCAATCCGGTATGTTGTCCAATCTACCTTGATAATGAGCTATTTAGTGGATGTTGATAACTGACTTCTTCGTAGTTCTTCATTGCCAATTGGCAAGCGTCTTCTGGTTGGACTTGGACATTCACTGCCCAAGGACTTATTGTACTTGGTGGCGGGTGTTTGGTGTTTGGTGGTCTACATATATTTGGGGCTTGGATGCGCGCAAAAGCACCTCAGCCTTCATGGGTCAATCCGGAGTTTGATATGGATCCTTGATTCGGGGGCCTGCTCTATGGAGCCATATATGGGACCCAATTTATTCAACTACTAGTTATTACAACATATATTCTTCATATTCATATTAGTCAACCGGATAACTCGGGTAGCAACCTTTCTCGTTCCGACTGTTGTACTGTTGACGTGTACGAGATCCGAATCAGAACCAACCGAGCCAAGGCAAGACAGTAGAAACCCGAGAACGATGTAAATATCAAGATGAATAGAATTTTTTTAGGCATCTTTCATAATACTATCTAATTCTTAAGATTTTTAAACCGTGGACCATGGTGGGTTTCTATGTCGTGTCGGGTTGTATGTTACACCGGCAAGAACTTTTGATTTATAATATTAAATTAAGCTTTTATCTTTATCCCAAATGGGACGATAGCTCAGTTGGGAGAGCGTGCGATTGAAGTTCGCAAGGTCGCTGGTTCGATCCCGGCTCGTCCCATTAGTTTTTGGACTTTTTTTTTGCTTGCTAACTTACCTACTACTTACTACATGGAAATAATCCTTGGGGTAGATCATAGTGGGACGAAACGATTGTAAATCAATTGAAGTTCAGCCTCAATTACATGTTCGTAGCTGTTTCTCCGGCTCGCGGTGCACGATCCCTTTTTCTTTCTATGATGGTGAGAGATGACCAGAGAAAACCACCAGCAAACAGGCAGGTGCAGTGCTATTCTATCTTCTTGTGGGATCCATATGCTCGGCCTCATCTAGCTTGCCTTGGTGACAATATATACCCCCGAGATTGTTAACGGTGGCTAGGGTTGATATATGGTCTGGTCCGAGCACTTTCCCATATCCAGCTAGCGCCGCAGAAATATTGGCTAATCTTGAGAAGCCCAAAGAATGTTCGAAGTTTCCGACATGCAATCATCCGCATTAAGAACCCCAATAAGCTTAGCGTTCTGATTTAGGAAGTAGGTGCCGTTGATATTCATGGGCATCCAGGGGTATATACCGATTTTTTTTTGCATGGTATTGGTCGACTAAGAGCTAACTTACTAGGAGAAGCCTCGGTTACAAGACGATGGCAGATAATTCCAAATCGACACTATCGAATTCGAACCGATCGTCCATCGTGGATACAATCCGCTCCCTCGATCATGTATCGCAGCCACAATATGCAGCTACTGAGTTTCCGGTTCGATAGCCGGTGGAGTCCTTAATTTGATGTGGGGAAACAAACAAAGAAAAGATTCAAAAGCCTTCTTGATTGGGTTCCTCGAAAAAGCAAACATTCAAATAGATATTTACTAACCAGCCAGTTCTTTTAGTCTTGCTAAGCGGCCGCCCCTTTACCCTGCCCTCTGTGGCATTCTTCTCCTCTTAGAAAGACTCTCCTCCCACTTTCCAAATCCTTTTTTTTTGACATATTCCAACCCCAAAGCAACCGTCATGGCACCGCGTCTGTTGAACAAGATATGCCTTATCACTGGTACAGGTGGTAGTATGGGACGTGCAGCAGCCCTCAAGTTTGCCGAAGAAGGCGCCAAAATCATCGGCTGTGACATCAACACTGTGACCGACGCAGCAACCATCGAAGCTGTACGAGAGCTAGGTGGTGAAATGATATCCATGTCCCCATGCGATCTCACAAAACGTGAGAACTGCGAGCAACTTGTCAACCTAGCCATCAAAACCTATGGACGCATCGATGTGCTGTACAATAATGCAGCAATGGTCCACATGAGCTGGCTCGACGACGGCAAGGATGACGACTGGTACAAAACAATTGACCAGGAGTTAAGCCTCGTCTACCTGTTGACTCGTGTTGCATGGCCACATCTGAAGGAGTCCGGTGCATCTATCATCAATGTTGGCTCTGCCAACGGCTGGATTGCAATTCGTGGAGTGCCTGCTATTGCCCACACAGCTACGAAAGGTGGTGTTATTGCCATGACACGTCAGTTCGCCATGGAAGGGCGTGCGCATGGTATCCGGGCCAATTCAATCTCACCAGGCCTTATCCAGACTCTGCAGACTGCACCTTTGCTTGAGGACCCGCAATGGAAATCGGATTTGACGCAGAAGATCATGATTGGCCGCATTGGGCAGCCAGAGGAGATTGCGGCTGTGGCTAGCTTTCTCGCTTCGGATGAGAGCTCATATATAACCGCTGCAGATATTCGGGTCGATGGTGGTATGACAGCCTGGTAGTGGAGTTATGTACATATATATCTTGTTGAATGATGAGATCAATGCATATCATATTCTATTAGGGTTAACTACCAAGATGAGCATGTAGAAGTTGAAATCTGGTATTACAGCGACTGTGACTGCTCTAACCAATGTCGAGATTACGAGATGTGATAAAATGGAGGAATGAGATAGACATCATTTGGATATATAAATAGAAGTTTTTTTGGTTCGTGGCTCATGTATTGCCATTAAACCCGAAATTGAGGTATGACTTAATACTAAGTGTGATGTGAATGACCGATTTATGGGATGGCGTGTGGATGGATTCCTATGTCCAGGATATCATGCACACAGGGTGCCAAAGATATATCACTATCACCAATGTGGCATGTCTAGTATTGTTTACGAATCCCGGTCTACGCAGACGTATAGCCCCTTGTAGGAAGTATTTTGATGCTTGAATGCCTTAATTAGCACTTCAATTTACACCGCTTTATACGGTGTAATGTAAGTGATCCATGTATTAAATGAAGCTTTTGGCACCATACAAATTCTTGCATCTCAGTTTTTGGAGGTGGTTGGCGTTTGCAAGTTTACACCGCCTTCATGCTTTGTGCCCTACCGCCTACGGGTAGTTCTGCCAGCAATACGGAGTACCAAATGGGGAAAACCCGGAATTATCAGATTGTTGCCCTTTCTTTCAGGCAGAAAGAAATCTCCGAGTCATTCATGTCAGATAGTTAGGACTCAGCGTACAGGAGGAATACCTACACGACACACAGAATGAAAAGGAGTTTACAAGATGTTGTTCCATCAGGAAAGAAGGATGATTGCTATGGTCTGTATGACCCTACGCTTGCTAGCTGACCTCCTTGGATGGTGTGTCGCTCTTAGGCCAGACTTCTCTTCAGTGGTTCCAAGGTTCCATGGATGCATACTTTGATTATTAAGGTATATGCAATGGTAACTACAACATAATTTAATTTTTCTACCGTTCTAAAATAGGGCATGAACGCATCAGCTCCTTCCTCAAAGGGGTTCTGAACCCTGAGCGCTATCATATGTTTGCGTACCCGGCCGGACAACGAGATTAGACTTCTGCTCAAATGGGTATATGGACCGGAGACACCCCTGCCATTTCGAGAGCTCGCAATTCAAAAATCTCTCACGGAATCAGTGGGTTAGAGCGGTTACTTGAAACCATCAAAAAAGGTCAGAAGGGGAGAGTCAGACTCATCCACCTTAAACCCATTAACCCCATTAAACCCGTCACTATCTTAATTCCGACAGCATGACAGTCTGACTACTAGTAGTCAGATGCTTCTCCGGGGTTCAAGCTCTGATGGCGAAGATGGGAACGGCACCTCCCGTTCTGTGTAAATTATTCCTGACCAATCACAGCGTGGAACGGCACCGTCGATTTGCCCCCACATCTATCCATGTAGGCATCTAGGACAACGTTGCAAGTACAACAAGTAGAAAATGAAGGAGGAAAGTATTTATACCCTGCATTGCGACGCCTTTCGATTCAATTCTCATCATATTCCTCCCCTTCCAACCTCCTAGAAAATGCCTTTCTATAACTCTTACCCAGGCTTCCTCTATCGCCAGTTCTTGGTCTGCCCTTCCAAAGCCCCATCCACCACCTCCCTTCGCGGTAAGGCAGGTATCGTGACAGGCTCTAATACTGGCTTGGGCTATCAAGCTTCCGCCCAGTTTCTCGGCCTTGGACTCTCCCATTTGATTTTAGCCGTCCGTAGCATCTCTAAAGGAGAAGCTGCCCGAAACTCCCTTCTCGCCTCGCTTCCCGCCTCGGTCAAACCCCCCGTGGTCGAGGTCTGGGAGCTGGACCTAGGCAGCTATGCCAGTACCATCGCCTTTGTCGAGCGCCTCAAGAAGTCCGACATTCAGGTCGACTTTGCTCTTCTCAACGCCGGTGTTGCCAACTTCAACTTCACCATCAACCAACCCACCTCGCACGAGTCAAGCATCCAAATCAATTGGCTAAGCACGGCTCTCCTGACGCTGCTATTATTACCCGTACTTGATCAACAGGCTGCCAACAACCTCAACCGCGCTCGCCCTGTGATTTCCATCGTCGGCAGTGAGACAGCCGCCTGGGCTAAGTTCCACGAGGCTCAGGTATCTATCAAGCAGGGACTACCCCTTATCCAAGTCTTGGATGACAAGGCCAATTTCGACATGGGAGATCGTTACTATACCTCCAAGTTGCTCTACCAGCTCTTCTTCCTTGAGTTGTTCCGCAACCGATCCAGCGCCAAGCGCTCCACGGGCGCCATTCTTAACTTGGTCAACCCTGGTTTCTGTTATGGCTCTGAGTTGCACCGCACGGCTGAGGGTGCCTTTGGGAAAGTTCTTGCTGGTATGAAGAGAGTTATAGGTCGTTCTGTCTCCATGGGCGCTCGTACCCTGGTTCACTCATCGGTGTTGGCTGGCGATGCCTCTAATGGTAAGTACCTGAGTGACAACAAGCAGGCTCCGTTTGCAGGGTATGGAGACAGTGATTCTGGCAGAATCATCCAGGCACAGGTGTGGAAGGAGACAATCTCCGAGTTGGCCCCTGTGGTTGACATTGACAAGGTGTTGTCGCAGATTTAAGTTCTTGGAAGACGTTTGGGTTCTTGATTTTTGATTCTTTTGCGTAATATTGCGTTATGTGCTGTCCTTGGTCAATTCTTCTTGTCTTTTGTGCTTACCTAGGTAGTCTCCTATAATTCTAAATGAGAAAGCTGTCGCATTCACTTGGGCTGCCGTAAACGGATCCACCTGGTCAGATGCTGACTAACATTCCCAATCCCGCCTAGATCAACGTATCGTGATTCACTGTCATTTGGAACAGCGCGAGAAGCTAACTCGTTATGATTTTGGCCCCCTGAAATGACTCGAAGAATATCTTTGCGGATTGTTTCTCTTCATAGGCAATCATCATCATGACTTTAAAATCAGTGGATGGGCTCACTCCACCCGAGCTTTTACATTATCTGCCTACATATCGGGTATTGATCTGCCGACGTTGCAGCTACGCTATCCAGCCTGGTGCAGTCGCTCGCCATCTTAAGGAAATCCACCATCTTCATCATTCATCGCGTCGAGCATTCATCGACTACGCCTCTAGATTTGAACTGACCCAACCTAATGATGTCGTTTTGCCCGATGAAACCCAGTTCCCAGTGCCTTTACTGCCCGTACAAAACGGGCTAGCCTGTTCCTTTGCTCGCTGTGCTCATCTTTGCGTTACAATCAAGCGCATGAAGCAGCACTGGATGACTGTTCACCATATCGCAGCCTCTGATAACGGAGGTTTCTGGGATCCAGTGCCACTACAGAGCTTTTTCCGAGGAAATGCCTTCCGCTACTTCACCAACCCAGCGTTGTTGATCTCGTCGTCATCATCTGCCAGTTCCGATGGGCTAACGAGTACCGTAAGTAAAGATAATGACCACCAGCCACTATCAATCCAACTAATTTATTCCTCTAGGCTGTGACAACTCCAGCTTCAAGATCGAATCACGGAGAATCAAGTCCCTTGCAACCGTTGATCACAACCGACGTAGGATTACTCGATCATTACCAAAACCATACCTACAAAATCCTCACATGCGGCCCGGAGACAGATGATGCATTTCGAATCATTGTTCCCCAGCTAGGCACGCAATTCCCCTTCCTACTTCATGGAATTCTCTCCTGTTCCGCCCTCCACCTTGCTTTTATCGACCCACCCAATCGAGTATATTACACGATCCAGTCAATCCGACACCAAAATCAGGCAGCCCCTGCATTCCGATGGGCAACTATGCACGTGGATAGTAATAATAGCCAGGCCGTGCTGGCTTTTGCATTCTTCCTCGTCGTCTACACCCTAGGCTCCCAATCCAACGACGAACCATTGTTTCTTAGCAATGATGATAACCCAGAAGACGCGCCCTCATCGAACTGGATCGAGATACTGCGTAACGGTTGCTCCATGCTCTGTCCCGTCTGGACGGAACTCAGTGCTGGTCCCTTGGCACCTTTTACGACCCTTTGGCGAGAGGATCTCGGCATCACTGCCGACCCCAACGACCCGCTTCTAATTACTCTACTCTCCGTCATACCGGACCGTGAATCCAACTCCGCTGAAAGCTCTATATACCGCGACTCGGCCGTCAAATTGGCAGTCGCGTTTGCATTTATCAAGAATTGCGGACCCTCGCCGAGTATTTGGGATGCTCTTAATTCATGGCCAATGCGCGTTTCGCCTGACTACCTGTCTTTATTGAAACAGAACAACCCGGGTGCTTTACTGCTATTGTCATACTATGCTATTCTTCTACAGCCACTGAGAGGAGAATGGTTTCTGGAAGGTCGCGTTATTAGATTGGTAGATGAAATCGCCCGACGATTAAGGGGGAATTGCTCGGCACAGATCTGGGAAGTGTTTTCTACCATGCGGGAAGAGTATTTTTCATACTGATTTTATATGATTTGACGGTTTGTTTTGAGTGATGATGTGACGTTTTACTATATTAACAAAGGGATTGATAATGCAACCTCCCCCTTGAATGACATTCAACCCCCCTGCCTGAACTTCCAGTACCTCCTTCCTAATTAGGTACCACCATAATCTCTGCCATAATTTCTGCCCACTTCTGGTCCCCTAAACAAATAACAAACCAAACTCACTCCGAGAACTTTCGATTTTGTAGCACTTGGCCAAAAAAGATATTCAATTCTTTCCAACCAATTTTTGCGTTGTTTTCGCCCCATTTTCGAGCTCATTTCTATCATCATCATCGTGAATATAGCCAATCTCAGCCTCCCTTACATGATAACTAGACCGGATTCGGACGAAGCGGACGCATAGTGCCACGTGCGTGTATGTTGTACGCATTACGCATGGTACGTTTGATTTATGGGTACTAGAAGTAAGAAATCATGATTCATGCGAAGCACTCTATGGAAATGATTATTTGATCATATACAACCCGTGAAGAATCAAGATCTACTAGTGCGCTTTCTCGCGTGAATTAATAGAGTACCAACCCCTCATTTTACCAGAAGCCATAAAAATGGCCCTCCACAAGACCCGGCTGGACCGTTTTCCATATACTAAAAATACATCTTTATTATCAGAGATCCCGATCTGCTTTGGACTTGATTAGAAATCGAACCGTTACATCAATACCAAGCGAAAATCCACGGGGTAGCCGTCTCACCATCCCAACCATATACCTAGAAAGGTATGAGGGCGGAAAGATGGATATCGGAGAATTTTTGCTTGTGGATCTGTCCTCGTGTTACTCCGTATGCCGGCTAATAGTACAGATAAAATAATGTTGAATTTCGTACAGCGTAATTTACCACTAGACCATAACAAAAACCAAGGTTCTTGTTTAGGGCCTAGAGGGGCCATATCCCATTCTTGACAAATAACAAAAGAAGCATCTCGGCCTTTATCCGTAACGAAAACATCCCAATAGCGTGGATACACGTAAGCGAGCTGGACACCTAAAACATCATAGTAAATGCGATATATTCTACACTTATGACTGACGGTTGCCGAGCTACTGAAATTAGTTGGATGGCAGTAGGTGCGACGTCAATTCGGAATCTTATTGATGAAGAGAGAAGCTTAGGACTAGCTACTATCTATATCTGCCTTCTCCGGCTGTCAACCTCCAAACGGAGGGAAAGAGGCCGCAGGGCGCCTCGATTCACTTCGTTTGCTGAGGCTCCATCTCCTCCATTCATCCACCGATTAGTTAAGCCCGAGGCAACCCGTACCCGACTATTGATGACGGATCGGACCAACCCGACGGTCCGTTGGGTAGGATGTCGTACGGCACCCCGCGGGGCTGATGTGTATTCTCAACTCCCATTTGCTACCGGTCCGGTTTCTTCAGCTTGACCACATCCTACGGAGTACTCCGTAGTTTAGTCGACCAATAAATTCTCTCATAGGGTCCCGTTGGTTGGGGCCGGCCAGATACCTCTCGCTGAGTGGTGTGGTTGTGGAGCCTCGTCCGCCACATGCATGACCGCGATCGTCCAGAAACCTCAGCGACTCAGTATCCCAACAACCAAGATTTTTCTTTATTTCTCTATTTGCCGATAGCTATTGATAAGGCTTATTAGTACTATATGTCAATTTCAAAGAAAGTACGACGCCGTATTATGGTCATTTCAAAAATTACCGATAATTCCGTTGCCAAAAGCTAGAATATATATCTTAACCAATAAAGATGGTATATATTACCTGAATAGTATCAGCCTAGAAGTAAAAATAGGGATAGACTACAGATATCAAGTTGTGATTCATCACATTTACTATGGTGCTTTGGGGGTCTTGCGTGTCCAGCTCGGTTACCGAATACGTTACCTTTTGTATTATAACAATACACCTCATTTTGTATGACTCGTCCACTATCGGTGCGGGTATTTTAAGGTATCTTACTCTAAAATACTATATAAAAATGCAGTATTACAATAGCACAACAACCGTAACTATTCTTGAGATGATTAGAAACGCAGTAATACTACCGTCTCTCCTGCATGGTACCTTTGATCAATGCTGACGCCTTTGATATGCTGACATCTTTTTTCAATGCTGACTGCATAGATCCGCTCCCGTCGAGGTTTAGCTCGTAGAAAACACGAGGCAGTGTTGTAGGTTGGAACGGCACCAGGGGTTATACTCCTGCAAGTTCACATACGATAATCTATCTGAAGAATGCTTATCCAGTACGGAGTATAAATGGCAATGTTATTCAACAATTGTCATTTTCTATCTACTTCTCGCACGCGTTGATTACTATCTTGATTATCACTCATCTCTATCACTCAACAATGGCTAAAATGGCTTCAACTGATGAAATTGATAAAATGATCGATAAAGAGGACTGGAGTCAAATATCCGAGCCAGCTTTGCGCAAACGCATCCAAAATCGTATCTCACAACGCAAGCTTCGTATGTTTTTCTCTTTCCTGGGCCAGACTGTATCCATCCACTAACTCAATTACAGGAGCCAAGAGGAAGCTACAAAACCAGCCAATCCCCTTCAACATCGTGGCTTTAACGCCTCCCATAGATAGTAGCCCTGATTTGTCTGCAGCAAATACCGCGGGCAACTCAATTGGAGAAACATTTCCGGATCCCATGGACGCTTTGTATCCTCCCATCGACCTCGAATGGCAGGCAAACTTCGACATGACAAATTTAGACGTGAATACTCTTTTCGAGGGCACCATTCCGTGGAGCCCAGACGAGACATCACTTACCACACCATCGCAGACGACAGATGCAGAACTCGGCGACTTCGACTTCGACTCTCTACCATTTGATCTCACATCCGATGATGATCAGATCGCCTTGGATCCGGCAATCCTCCCAATGGATACATTGGTCTCTCCCCAGTCTTTGCATCCCAGGGAATTTAAAAATGGCAATGTTTTAATCCACATCGATAACTCCAGGCCACACACTCCCCGATCCAGCTACGCGGCGTCTTCTTCCTTGGATACATCTAACGAATCTATGTCATCAAGGGGCTGCCCAGTCAAATGGAGTACCCGAATGCTATCCCGCGGCTTTGAAATGGGATCTTCTAGAAGCAATGGCACGACACGAAAGCAATTGTTTCGTCCATGGAAGAAATGCACCACCACCACTACAACCGAGGATAGTCCTTATCAGTCTTCCCAAGAAGATGTGGTAGAATGCAGCAATTGTGGCTGCCATGTGGCCGTGCGGGAAGCCCCTCGGCCAAGCCAGCAGGAACTAGTGGAGATGTTGATTCAACATAATCCGGCATTGGCTGAGTTGGCTGAACAGCCAAATGTGCGGATCGAATATGAGTTGCCTACATCTTGGGAGCAAAGTACACGGCATAGTTCATCGGTTGATTTGGAAATGGAAGGGCAAGAAAGAGAGGTAGAGGGCGAACCAAAGTACATCATAATCTATTCCGGACATGAGCGACCCCAAAAGCCAACTTATTCCGAGTAGATGGTTCTCCCTCTATCAACTACACGCATTGTACATAGAATGTTCCCCTCTTACGAATGTTAACCAATTAGAATTATTACTGTCTGACCCTGACTGCAGGTGGCTTGAGGCTGACTTGAAACATCTGATACCACCAATTCCAACGGACATATTTAACTTTAGCATAACCGCATCTAAAATCTCACCATCGTCATCTTTTCCACAAGCACAATGAGTATCAACGGATTTGCTCTCGTTACCGGTTCAGGGAGCGGAATAGGCCGAGCCTGCGCGTTGGCCTTTGCTTTTGAAGGAGCTGCTGGCGTTGTCTTTGCCGATTTAAACCGGGAGAGCGCCGAGAAGGCAGCCGAAGAAAGCAAGAAATTGGCAACACACCCGGCATATCGAGCACTAGTGTTGACCCTCGATGTGAGCAATGAGGAGCACGTGGAATCCGTGGTAGCAGAGACGAAACAGGCGTTTGGAAGAATTGATTACATGGTGAATTCGGCTGGAGTATGAGCTTTCTCTCCATCTTCTTGCTACTTGATTTTCTGATACCTCTATGTAGATTGGCGTTCAAGTCGCAGCGGAGATTGCTGAAGCATCCCTGTCGGAATTTAACCGCTTCCTCGACGTGAACGTCAAAGGAACTTTCCTTCTCACCAAGGTTGTGTCTCGCGCCATGAAAGAGCAAGAGCTGAAGCCTGTGAACTCGACAAATCCCGATCGGGGTTCTACTCGGGGTGTTATTCTCAATATGGCGTCTTGTTCATCGTTCGTGGCGACGCCTTTATTGACACAGTATACCACATCTAAACATGCCGTTCTTGGATTGACTCGAAACGCCGGTACGTCTAATGTGATTACAATGGACAGAAAGAGAAAAGTGCTAACAAAAGAAAAGCATTGGATAACGCGCAGTACAATATCCGTGTCAACTGTCTGTGTCCCTCGTGGGTTGATACGCCTATGGTGGACCGCGCCGTGCAGGGGAATCCGGAATTGAAGGCGCTGATTGCAAAGGCCGTGCCAATGGGAAGGATTGCACACGTGGACGAGATAACCGATTTGATCTTGTTCCTATGTAGCCCCAAAGCGAGTTATGTCACGGGTAGTAGCTGGATTGTTGATGGGGGAACTACTCTGACAAGTCATGCTTGAGCGTTCCCCGATGTCATTGTCAGATAATGTCAGATGGGAGTGTCAGATTCAGGTACCAGATATTATAAAGACATACACTTCTAAATATATAAGACTGCTATCTCCTTACTTTTTAAATTCACTCAACACATCAAACATCCCATTACACAAACATTCACCATGACTACCACTGCCGCCATCAACTTCATCACCGACGGCTTCCCAGCCCCAGGTCTGCGCGCGACTCAACGTCTCATTACGGGCAACAAAGAAGAAGACGGCAAAGGTCACTTCCTCGTCACCGACAATGGCGACCACCACCGTGTCATGGGTGAGAACCAGGCCGTTGCCAATATTATCTACTCCACCCATGAGAACCCCGTCGACCTCAATGAGGACAAAGACATCAAATATGCCAAGGAGAACGAGGTCAGCCCAACCAAGCCTCAACACATCTTCATATGAATGCAAACCTAACCAAAACAAAGCCCGGTCTCCATATCACCAACGGCACGGTCGTACGTATGATCGATTTTGGTCCTGGAGTGGAGTCGCCCATGCATCGGGCCATGTCAATCGATTATGGCATTGTGATGGATGGTGAATTCGAGTTGACCTTGGACTCCGGCGAGACACGCATCATGAAGCAGGGTGACATTAGTGTGCAGCGGGCAACGGCGCACAAGTGGAAGAATATCACTGCTGGAGAGACACAGGCTGGGCGGATGTTGTATGTCTTGCTTGACTGTAAGGAGGTCCTGGTTCAGGGAAAGAAGATTGAGGGATTTTTGGGTGAGTTGGAGAAGGAATACGAAGGAAGAAGTGCATGATTGGGGTGTTACTGCCTATCATACTTGATACTGAATGGGAAAGATATATTTATACGCACTTCCACGTAAACTTAAGCAGTGAAAATGAATCGAAGCACATCTTGGAAATGAGAATAACGTCCAAATTTACTATGAACATCTTAAACCTAGCCGAGTTGATGATAATAATCAGCTTTAGTTTGAAAAATATAGTTCGGGGAATTCCCCTAGTCATGGGTGGGCAAGTAGCAGACAGAATAAACAATTAGAATAAGAATCTCTCCAAGGGAAGTGAAGCTACAATGCATTTCATTTTTTTTATTTTACAATTGAATACCATCCACTTTTATATTGTCACCTGATTTGTACGAGGGTCAAAGGTTTTACATGGAGATTACCTAATAATCCGTGAATAGTTATGAAGCTATTCAGTGATCACCTCATCTATCAATCAATGTAAATTAATTCTACCAACACCAATAACAGACATAGTTTAATTCTAAAAAGTCATTAAATAGCTATATCTGATTGATTAAATGCGATCGGTAATTTGTCAGAATGATAGTACAAGAATTTTCATCCTGACTTGAGCTTCTTTGTATAATTGCGCCACAAATAGAATGAGTTACTGGTCGCATTTAATCAATTTGGTAAGCTTTACTCTATAGTAATTAAGGGCCGGTTTTAGCATGAAATTATCTCTATTATTAGTAGTGGTAGAATTAATTTACATTGCTTTGTAGCGGCAGATCAGATGATCAGAGAGAGGAAATATGGTCAGTAGAACGTATAATAACATATTTCAGTAAATGGCAAAATATCCTAGAATAGAATACAAATCATTCTCTGCACTCAATTATCAAACACAACGTTCATCAGTTGGGCAATCCATTGTTATAGCTGAACAAGCCCTTGGGGTCCCACTTCTTCTTCAGGTTCAGCAACGTAGGCAGCTTCTCTGCGCCATACATGGGATCCAATCCCTCGGTGCCGTGGGCGTAGCTGACGTAGATATGCATATCACCATCAAAGCCACTGGTCGCGTTGAAAGACTCCAGGGCAGCAATGGCAAAGTCGTCTATCTTATCGCCGAGGGAGGAGTCGGTAATGTTAAAGGAAAACATTCTAATAAGTGTTAAATGGGTATCCAAAATCACACGGATACATAATGAAAGAGAGGAGGCTTACTCATGGGCACTGATCTCGCGATGAGGATACGCAGTGGAGTCATCTGCAACAGCAGTGACAGCTTGGATGGGGAAATACTCCACCTGCCAGGTGGTTCCTGACGCAGAGGGATAGTCTTCCCAGAACTGAACGAGCTTGCTGAAGTAATCGATGTGTGTTGCTGCGTCGATGGAGCGTACACCGAGGGACCACATATCGTGCTTCTCGCCATTGACACAGAAAGCCGTGGCTAGACCGAAGCCGGCATCGTCATCGACGGCATCCCACTTAATCATGGTGATGTTGCGTTGAATAGAGGTCAGGTTGAGGAAGGGGGCAAGAAGATCGAGTCCTTCTTGCTCGGCTCCGGGGTAGACAGCATTCAGGAGGATAACGGGCTAAATAAAATGAGCCAGGCTGCTGATAGTATCTAAGTTGAGAGAACTTACTCCCACGGAAGGATAATTCATGACCAAGGTATACAAGGACAGACCGGCGGGCAAAGTTCCATAACTAGCCAAGATGTTGAAATACGTTTCGTTGAGGCTAGCAGGGAACATGAAGTCGGCGTTGAGCACATTGCCTTCGTTTGTGAGATCGTGGACGTTGTATGTAGCCGAGGTAACAATTCCATAGTTAAATCCAGCGCCACGAATTCCCCAGAATAGGTCTTCGTTCTGCGTGGCAGAGACGGTGATAAGATCGCCAGCAGCGGTGACCAGCTGGACTGACTTCAAAGCATCGAGTATGAGACCGTGAAGGCCTTGGTATCTGCCAACACCACCGCCGAGAGTAGCACCTACCATTCCCACGCAAGGACAAGAGCCGGTTTCTATTAAAGTGTTAGAGAAGAATGCGCACCCAGATCATAGACTAGATACTTACGAATCTCCTTTCCAGCCTCGAAGAGAGGTCCCATGACTTGAGAGAACTTAACAGAACCACCGATAGTCATTGTGCTTGCAGTTTTGTCGATACTGACGCTGTTAAACAGGCTTAGGTCAATCTTCAGACCGTTCTGAAGACCTCCGAAAGAGGTACTATATCCATGGCCTCCACCACTGGCCAAAAAAGGGATGTTATACTTGGAAGCGTATTTGACCTGTGTTATTTCATGGTCAGATAGGAAAAAGAATAAGGATAGAGGCAAAACGTACAACAGACTGGAGATCAGCAACAGAGGCAGGCTTAATGGCCACAGAGAAGGTGGGCTCATCCCACGCGGTCCATCGCTGGATGGTGTCAGCCCAGTCGGCATCGCTGGGGTAGTAAATCTGGGAGGAGGAAGAAAGGGTGGACACGAGAGATGAGATGTTTGAAGCGGCTGCTAGATAGACGAAGGAGAGAACCCCAAACAGGAAGAGCAGGGGAGATGCAGCCATAGTTCCTTGCATATGCATGTTGATCACCAAGCTTTAACTTTTGAGTGTTCAGATTGAATGTTATGAATAATATTCTGTTTGTTCAATGGGCGATGATTCAGTATGGTATTTATATTTCAAAGGTTGACACTGATGGGGGCCAAAATGTCAGGACAGCTGAATCGTGCCATCAGTTTACGAGGCATGACCCCTTCGATTCCATGCTCATCTATAGATGACAATAAGCTGTTGAGGAAGTAAGCCATTTACTCCGCTTTCAGGTGTAGCAGCCATTTTCAGTAGCTTAGCTTAGCTTCTGCATCTTCTTTTTTCCTTCTCCCTGTATCAATCATTCATTGGTTTTCATCCGGAGACCTGCATGTCGTAGATCCCAATGCAAACAGGAGTTCCTAGATGGAGGCTGAGATCTGACCACATGGAACGTTAGCTAATTTCGGCTAGACGCTAAAGATGCATGTCAGGTCAGAATGTATGATGCTTCATGTCAGACAGTCAGAACCCGACCCAAAAGACTCAATAT